ATGTCTCTAGAAAGAATCTTGGTGCAATAAAATGATAAATATAATTTGGCTGCTGATTTGATCTGATCTGACTGATATTCATCTTTGGTGAAGATTCAGAAACAAATCAAAACTTAAAGCAGAAACGTTAAAACCTCTGTAGTAACAAACAGAGTGGTGCATTTTCCTACACTGCCAATCAACTTTTATTATAGAATCAAGGTAAACGACTTTTTTCTGCAGAAATGAGGCAGTGGAAAGAGTAGTTTTCTGAAGGATATGGGCTTGATTCCAACTGTAATATATTGATACAAACTGACAAATAAATGCCTAAGTTGACAACTATTGCATATGTTTGAATGTGTGCATCTATAAGAGTGACTCTGGTTTAAAAGTCTTTTTAGAAATGGTTCAGATCATGATTTATAAAGTGAACCTAATCATTGACCTGTTAAAATTCCTATGAATTTATTGTAAATTAATGTAAAATATCTCTGACATGAGACAGTTATAGTTATAGACAGTTATACTGAGGAATTTTCTGTAATTTTAAGTTGTTACATATGGTTTTACTCACTGTATGCCATCAGTAAAACCATTACAACATCATATTTACACAAAATATAAAACAAAAATGTTTAATTACTTTTATTTTTGCAGAAAAGCAACAGTTAGTCCTGTTGCTGTTAGATGATATAACACTAACGACTGTGATTATAATAATGTTATTGATAATCTTTAATTGTTTATTTGATAAACTTGTGCAAAAATAAAAACTAAAGAAATTTGGTAGGTATTTTTAACTTTTATAAATTGTCATTTTGCCTTTGTAGAAGAGCAGAAGAAGCTACTATAATCTAGTTAATTATATGTGCTATCTAATTCTAACTTCATAAGTTTCTGTACAAATAAACTTTCCTTAATGTATTATTTAAATATATGTGTTTTCTGTGACCAGACATATTTATTTTCTGTAAACAAGGAAAACATTACAGGAGTCTTGGTGCAGCCAGCTGATTGGCAGTGTGCAGCAAAACCTGCGAGATTAACATTGTAGTTCTGGTTTGTGTGTCAACTTATTAAACTGTTTAAATAATATGAAAAAAGGGTTTTGTTTTTAAAACTGTAACAATTTTCAAATTGGAGTATACTTTGATACTAAACACATCTGTCCTTACTTTTAAATCTTAAATTAAATATTACTTTTGCACACCTACTTTTTTCTTAAAACATTTTTAAAGAGTCAATATAGGGTTGTAAAGCCTTTTTCTTATGTAATTTAGTATTAGACCATAACATGATCAGCAGATGTTAACATATAGTAGTTTTCCACCACAAGACCTCATGATAGACACAAAGCAAAATACATATAAGTGATATGTATTTATGTATTCCAATGCCATGATCGACTGTAGAACAGGAAAATGAAATAATGTGAAATAACTGTATAAATATTTACGTCACTTGGGTACCAGGTCCGGTAGGAAAACCCAGACTTCAATCTCTCCAACCACTCCAGCTCATTCCAGGTGACACCAAACTGTTTCCAGGCTAGAATGCTATGTCATTCCTGCTGTGGGTTTTGGTTCTTTACCACATTTATCTATTTTTTAGCGAATTCTATAAATTATTACATAGTTATAAATAAAAGTAACTGTTCAGAGTATTTAGTTCCAGTTTTATTCAATTTATTCTATTAATAAATATTAATTAAGGACTTATGTACTTATTGATTTCTGTCACTTTAGGCCTTCCATACAGTTTGGACTGAGACACTTTAAGGCATATTTCATGACTTTCAACTCCCTCTGTCTGCGTTTCTGTCCTATCAATCCTGAAACCTGTTCTTATTCAAAGTTATCTATGGAGTTACTTACATATTTACCTATGTCATGTTTGGCCTTCCATACATTTAGGGATTGATGGACACTTGTAAGACATAGTTCATGACTCTCACCGCCATCTGTGTATGTTTCAGATCGTAACCAATCGGTTATTCTTATTCAAAGTATTTTACTAATAAATATTAATTACAGATGTAATTATTTATGCCACTTCAGGTCTTCCGTACATTTAGGAACTTCAGGAAGCTTTTAAGTCTTATTTGATGACTCTCACCTCCATCTGCGTATGTTTCCGTCCCGTATCCATCCTGAAGTCCGTTGTTCCAGGTTCCTTCGTACTTGGCTCCGCTGCCCACGCTGACCCGGACCCCGTACCTCCCTTTGAAGCCGTGAGTCCATTCCCCTCGGTAAATCCAGTGTCCTTTGGTTTCCACTCCCAGTCCGTGGCGCTTGCCCTGCGACCAGTAGCCTTCGTAGGTGTTCCCGCTGGGCCAGGTGTAGACCCCGACCACCTCGAAGCCATAGTTCCAGGAGCCTGAGTACTCGCCCTGGCCCTTGGGTCCGGTGCAGATGCCATGGCCGTGGGCTTTGCCCCCCTCCCAGCCTCCACAGTAAGCCCCGCCGTCATCAAACTCGAAGCGACCTCCACTCATCCCGAAGCGCAAATTGAAAACTGAAAGACGGTACTGGGTTTTCTCTTTCCTTTTACTTGTCCGAAGTTCCTGACGTAGATTTCACCTGACATGCAGATGAGAGATTAACTTTATTGGGTTTCTTCTATTGCGATCGCCATTTGAGTTCTTGTTATTCTGAATCAAGCATCGTTCCTGAAACAACTCTTTTGTTGTTGTTGTTGTTGTTTATTAGATTTATTAGAGCGAATTGTGAATAAAATGTGGATGTGAGTGTTGAAAAGCCAGAGATCTTACATGGCTTTCTCAGGTGGCATTTCCCCCCCTGTCCCTGCCACCCAGCTACCTCCTGACAGCCGCCGCGGTTGGACACACTTCAGCAAACCTAACAAGGCGACCAATCCACAAACACACACACCCTTCCAAAAATACAACCCAATCCTCCGCTGCCTGCAAGGAGCCATGCCAGAGTCTTGCCCCTTCGGGACTGAAGTAGCTGCATGCCTTTCAGGTCTCTGCTGTCCAACTCCACACTTTTTTAAAAAACCATTTTACGCAGGTAAAAAAAGTTGAGCACAAAGATCTCCACATCTGCACATAAATCCACCCATGCGTTCTTCTATAATTATTTGAATCAAGTCAAGTGGGATTTTAATAGTAATCACGTTTATTCTGTGGTACCGGAATTGTTTTTTGTACTTTAAAATACATTAATTACTATTTTTGATCTCTAAGTTGCATTAAAATCAATGTGACATTATAATAGCATTGTTTATCATCCGTGTTTTCTTGAATTTTCATTAAAAAAATCTTTACTATAAGTTGTTAATTTCGCCCCCTGCTGGATCTTTAAAAAACTACAGTAAAAATACTACTCAAATCTCTCAATCTGAATGCTGTCTAATTTTTTGGCGCCATGTTGATCACCACTGGGTGAAATAAATCAGATATTTTACTTTCTGAAACTAACGAAGTGTTTGTGCCTATTTATTTAAAAATATTTCACAAGTTAGTTACTTAACTCTTGCTTTCAGTCATAAAGAATAAAAATATTTTATAAGTTAGTGACTTAACTCTTGCTTTCAGTGATAAAGAAAATATATTATTGTGTGTTATTTATTTTAAAACATAATCTAAGTCAAATTGAAAAAGCGGTTTGCTTTAACATATATTTAAAGACATTATGGGAGATAATTATCAGTCAGATCTTATTAACAGCTGTATGTTGAGAGATAACAGCAATGATTCTGGTGAAAACATTTCGTAGCGTTCAGAGCATTCAGGTGAGATAAAATGTTCTGAAAAAACGATGAACTGTAGTTGCAGTTTAAAGAAAAAAGTTTTGAGGAATAAAATGATGTTAATAATCAATAATTATGTTGTCTTTAAGTCAAATAAATTTAGCGAGTTTTAGATTTTGAACCTAAATGTGAGTTTGTGAAAGATAAACTTGCAGCAGCAGTAAGTTGTGCTAACTTTTTAATAATTTTGTGTTGGAGAGTTTTTAGGTTAACACTTAAAAAACTGAAAGAAGAAAAAGACAGAAGTGGGAACTATTTCCCAGAATGCTTTGTTTTTGTATCCTAAGATGGAAGTGCTTTACATTGATCTGACTCTTGTGTTTTGTTAAGAATTTTTTTTATTTTAATGCAACTGTCAGTTAGCAAAGCTTGAGGAAAATGTCCTGTTCACACTAAATGTTTCTGAGCTGAATTCATTGAGATGTTTAATGATTCATTATCAGATCAGAATTATTGCATTATTGAATAATTCCAAAGTAAAATAAGTAGATATTTTAACTAATATTGTAAGTGAAAATAAGAGAAATGTGGCTCTTTAATTAGGTGAAAGCAGTTTTTTTCTTGCATATTGTGAAATAATTATTTGGTTTAAATTTCAGCATTAAGTTAAAACTCACGATTAATGAAATTAAAAAAGTTCAATCAACGTCATGAACTTTAATTTCTGAGTCAAAACCAAAACTATTTCCTTGTCTTGACATTCATTTTCAAGTTAAACTACCTTCAACTTGACTGTATGATGTGTTTATTATCACGTTTTCACGTGTTGCTGATAAGAACTATTAACTTAACTGATTGATTTCCAAACTATGTATAATTTTCCTTCCACCCCACAGTCACTGTGCTCGTGTTTAATTTAAAATCCCAGTAAAAAGACATAAAAGTTTGTGATGAAACGTGTGGATATTTCTTCTGTTGGTTCCTCTGATTCAACATAAAAAGGTTTCGCTGTGTTTATTTTCCACGTCCTTTCAGGAGCCGCTTGACCTTCCCCTGACTGCTCCCTTCGCGGGTCTCCACCGCGCATGTTTGTGCGTGCCTCATTGCGTGATGTAATACGGTCCTTCTGATTTATCCGCGTGCAGCAGCAGCATCATCCTCCTCATCATCGTCAGCAGCAGCAGCATGCTATTACTGAGAGGCAGTTTGCATACGGATTAGGCTGTGCGGGTTTTTAGCGGGAGGTGAGGCGGATTTCAGCACCGGAGCTGACTGATGCTGGCGCCGCGTGCTCAGGTGATGCTGCGCTCGAGCTGCTGACATCCTCCCTCCCCCACCCCTCCCACCTCTACCTCTCTCTCTCTTTTTTCTCTCTCTCTCTCCTCCCTCTGCGTGCATCCATCCCCTCCGTCCCTCCTCGCTCCGCTCCTCTCCTCCACACGCACAAAACGCTCTGTCATGGCGTCTTCCAACCATGTTACCCCCACCAACTGTAGCTGGTGGCCCATCTCAGCCATGGATGAGGACGGCAAAGTGGCGGACGGAGAGGAGTGCGAGGAGCCCACGGCGGAGTCCAAACCTTTCAACAAAGACAGGCTGGTTTTGTACCACTGGACGCAGTCTTTCGCCTCACAGAAGGTAAGACCTGGAGCAGAAAATGAAAATGGAGATGGCTTCACGTCTCTGTGCATGCTGTTTGTTTGCTATATATGACCGAAGCATGTCTGCATCTGGGCTTGTTTACCTCCTCCTGTGTGTGCAACACAGTACCGCCGCAGCGGGATGTTCATTTCCTCGACATGCAGCAGACATAAACGTGTCATCTGTCATGCATGATGACAGCAGAATGGTTCTCTGTTTTAGTTCATGCAAATGTTGTGCAGAGCTAAAGGCCTTTTCCCTCTGAAGCAGACCATATGGTGCTGTTTTTATGCCTTACTCGAGCCCACCTTTTGATCACCACAGATAATAAATTATTAGTGAACTTCCTTGAATGAGCCTGTGTCATTAAAACCAGCATTTAAGCTAGTCAGCTAAACATAATACATACATAATAACAACAGCATGAAGCCTCCAAAACTGGCCTTTTCAACAACAGCACACATAAAGCAATATTTATTCTAACCTGCACTGTATAAATACCGCTGCATTACCTTCAGGGGAAACGTTTGTCCACAAGACGCTGAATTGCTTTTATGAAAATGAGAACAATAAATGCGTTTCCATTGACTATATAAATACGCAATTTGGCATTTCAAAAGTAAATTCACTTTGTGGAAACACGCCAACTTCAAAAACAAAATCTCGTTTTTCGATAAAAAGTTTTAGCGCTAGAACACGTGAAATTGGTTTCCGCATCAAAGGAGTCAAGAACCGGATGTTGCCACTGGCACAAACCACGAAGAAGAAGAAGACAGGAAGTAGTTGGAGGATGTTTTTATGGCGAACTCATTTATTTAGTGTGATTTTAAGTGGATTAATCATTTAATGTAAACACCGCAATTGTGAAATTGTGTTTTTGTCAACATCAATGAAATATTCAGAAAGTCTTGTGTACATTTGTAATGGAAACACATCTAATGATGTTTTGAAAAAGTCCAACAGTTTGCACATTTTTTTTACCAGAATCAGCTGGGCTTCTGGAGGATGTCATGTTCTTCAACGGTGGTGTTAAACTCAAGGCCCACGGGCCAAATCTGGCCCACAGTAACTGTTTATGTGGCCCTCCAGACTATAGATTATGTCATACATTGAACTTTAAGATGCATTGTGCGCTAGAATATTAATTTTTTTGTCAAATCAAATCTGTTTTCATTATTGTAGAAACAAATTACATCAATGAGATGCTAAAATTTTAAGAAGTACTAATCAATCGCGGAGAAAACTGGTTATGGTTATTAACACATTCTGCCCTTTGAGGACATTCGTGATCCTGATGTGACCCGAAATCAAAATTATTTCGACACCCTGTTCTACAACATTAAGTAGGGATTTTTTTATTTGTTTGTAATATTTGCATTCTGTCAGTTTATCTATTTTTTTATTGTACATTTATTTAACCAGAAAGTTTCTTGAGATTAACACGTGTTTTTAGCAGACCTGCCCAACATAAAATACATAAGCAAAATAAAATAAGTCAGACTCAATAAATTACAGAGGAAGGTCCTGTTTAACTGTTTCAGGCCCAGAAGTTTTTTAAAAAAGCTTCAAACTCTCCCAGAAAAAGCACGACAACCCCAAAAAGATTTTAAATTTGGGTACTAAAAGAAGAAGTGAACTCCAGAAATACAAAAATAAACATCTTCCATGATTGGAGATGACAAAGAAAGGGGGAAGAAACCAGATGATGAAGTAAATAGTGATTCATTCTGTGCAATGAAAGCAGAAGGCATTTATAAATAATGTATACACAGTTAAGAACATTAACAATGTGGCCTTTACTTATGAATCAAATCTTTATTTTAAAAACACAAGCTCAGTTTAGCATTTAGCTTCTTTAAAAAATGCTCAATATCCACTTTGAAAGCCAGGCTTTCATCCAACCCAATACCTGAACACTTGTAGAGCTAATAAGGTTTCTGCCTAGTTTATAAAAATCTACATAAATCAAAATATGGGAGAAATTTCTAGAAAATAAAATTAATTCCATTTTATTCACTTTCACAACCAGTAGTAAACAGTGGGGTAGGCCAAAAGTAGTCGGAAAACCATTCAGAACCTTATGAATAAAGTAGGACATCATCTGCATAACGGTGCACTGTCATTAATGAAAGCAGCAAATTAAACAAGGCCCAAGAATGTGCCTTGGGGTATTAAAATCTCAAGAAGACTGAAGTTATACTTGTGTGTGAAAACACTGGCATATGTGAAATTTAGCTTTCAAACCATCTAAAAGCATCAACAATGGTTCCTGATCAGCTGGTCCAGCAAAAATTTACCAAAGTAAAGTTTTATCAATTTAGTGTTAAAAGAAATGATGATCCACTAATATGCTTCATGATTGTAACTGTGGGATTAAGTTTTCTTGAATCCTGATACTTTATAATGTAACAAAATGTAGATCTTCTCATCACTTTTAGTGAAGTTTGACCCTCTGCTCCATCGTTTTGGGCTTCCTGGCCTCAATCTGAACCTGGTCTTCACACATGGATTATGCATTTATGTCAGAAGTCCTTCAGTACTTTATGTGGGATTATCGCTAGTGTCAACTGGCCCAGAAATAACCAGCAAGTACTTTGATAATGAATAAATCTAACGATCCATTCAATCACAAATGCAAACCATTTAGGGATTTTTACAGTGTTAAAGATAAAAATAAAACAAGCTTCTTGATTTGAATTGCTCTTTTGGGAAAACTGTTTTCATGATTTTGGCAGAAAGCGTATTTGTTGTTTTTAAATGGTGCAGAAAATAATATGTTTTTGCTGTTCTTAACTGTGTTATCCTACAATGAGAGATTCGTGGTTCTGAATTAGTTCTAGCAAACAAAAATGTTTCCAAACAGCCTAAGTTGACTTTCTTATGGGGAAAAGAAAATGTTTAATCGTATTCAGTTAGCCATTTAAGTGGCAGTTCACGGCAATAGGTGGGGGAGGGGCAACACTACATCACACCAAACCTCAGGTTACTTTTTCCTGTATATCGTTTTAAATGGCATGAAAGAGAAAATTATTGCAGTTCAAAACAGTAATTTTTAAAACCTTGATGCTGCTAATAAAACCATGCAGACTATTGGCAGCCCAAATTATCCAGTTTGGAAAAAACAAGCACATCTGGAAGGTGCCAAATAACTCCAGTGATGTACTGAATCCATTAAGCATTAAATATTTTTGCAGATGTAATAAAATAATTCACATCAGGGCTGAAATGATTAATTGGATTAATGGCGATAAACCAATTATTGAACTAATCGTCAACTTTCATTTGCTCAATGAACAGCACATTTAGAGCCGTAATTAAGCCAAAACTCTACAAAATATACACATTTTACATTTAAGATTAAAAAAACATTTGCCTATAAATATGTTCTACCCAAAACTCCTCAAGTGGCGTAGTTTTAATTTCACCCAGTTCCAAAAAACTATCAGTCATCTTTTGCTATATATTTATTAACTGGATAATCAGAAATTATTTGGAGTTAATTCAAGCAGATATTAGAATATATTTTTAGCTGCAGACTCTTCACTTGCTACAAATGATCACTAAATGAATGCTGCTGTTGCATTTTAGACAATGAAATTTTTCTTGTTTAAAAAAACATTGAATTGATTGTATTTCTAATATTGCATAAAAAATGCGTGAATAAAAGCAAATTTGCAAAATGTGCCAATTTTTCATCTTAAGCAAATATTGTTTGATTTTTTTTATCAATAAAATATTTTTTATATTTTTATTTAGCACTTTTTCTTTCTTTTTTTTAAAGTACAAACAACACAGCCGTGTGGTACAAGTCAAAATAAAACAAACAAGAAACACTGGGATAGAGAAAGGGAAGTAAATAAATTAAATATATTACATATTATTTCCAGTTGAAAGCAGATTTAGAATTTTAAATTTGATTAATGGTTACACTAATTGTTAATTAAGACAGTTGTTATTTTCAGTCCTAATTAACAAACTCATCTCTGGTCTGCATGTGGAGAAAATGACGTCTAAATGGGCTCATTAGGTTCTGGGTGCTTAAATAAGTGTATTATTAATTAATAATGGATAATGCTTACTCTGCATTTTCACCTTAGAACCTTTAACCTGAGTTTTTTATGGCTATATATTTCTGCTTCCTGTAATTGCATTGTTATGAGAATTAATAGGACTCATCGTCATTGCTTGTTATTCACCGGTGGATCAAACGGATTCAGGAATGCTCCTGAGTCGGTGGGACGATTTGTATTTCTCCGCTCTGCAGCCGGATAGCTGATTCTCAGGCTCTGATCTGATCGGCTCCGGTCCGAGCTGCTGATTGAAACGCTCGTCACTCAGCGGAGGGTAAACACAAAGCTCGTTGTCATGATTATCACTACAATCTTGGAGCTGGAGTGGCTCTCAGATCATGTGTAAACAGCGTCACAGACTGGCTTCTTCTGAGGCTCCGTGAAAAATAAAAACACACCAGCCTGCAGAAATGATTTGTTGTTCCCCTAAAAAACAAAATATGGCGGCTTTTTTTACGGTGGCATATCATAGGGCTATACTAAAAAATAAAAATAAATAAAAATACGAGAATGAAGTCATGATATTTCAGAAATGAAGTCGTATGAGAATAAAGGTGAAATAAGATCAGAATAAAATCATAGTATGTTCAGAAAAAAGTCATAATCTAGGAAAATAAAGTTGAAATACTATAATAAAGTCATAGTTTTATAAAAAGAAATGAAGTTATAAAATTGCAAGCAAAAAGCTGATGTATTATGAGAATAAAGTTTAAAAACCATGAGGATAAAGTCACAATATTACAAAAACAATCAAAATTTTGCGAGAATAAAGTTGAAATTATGTGACAAAATCATCACAATATTTTGAGAATAAAATCAGAATAACAAGAATAAAGTCATAATGTTATGGTAATGAGAAAGTTGAAATAAGATGAGATTAAAATCTTAATATTTTTGGAAAAGTCATAATTTACAAGAATAAAGTTGAAATAATGTGACAAAAAAGTTATAATATTTTGAAAATAAATCATGTTAACAAAAATAAAGTCATAATGTTATGAGAATCAAGTCGTACGAGAAAAAAGTTGAAGTAATGAGAATAAACTCCTGAATAATGAGGATCTGTGCTGTTTTCTGCATTCGTGATGCTTCACTCCATCCCTTTTCCTGGGCTCTAATATATGAATATAATGTCATATTTTCGTCTTATTGTGAACACAGCAGATATGAAAACGTCAGAGATGGATTTAGCTCGATAACGGCACATTTATGTGCAGCCGCAGCGATCGATCGCGCTCCGGTAACATCAGGACCTGCAGGTCAGAGATTTACATCTCCAGCAGTGAGACTGTCAGACTCAGCTGTTTCACATGCCAGTTTCCCTCAGGCCAATCATGTAAGAGTTAGCTTCTGGTTTTATTTTTTAGTGTCGTGATGTAGAAGTGGAAGGGGTTAAAGGTCATTGCAGATGGAAAGATATATTCTGCACTTTTTGCTGCTTCGCTATTTCTATTGTTTTTATATTATTGTGCAAAGTCATCAGATTACAGATTTACCCAACTACCTGCACTTGTTTAAAAAGTTTGTTTAAAAGAAAGATTTCTGCAGAAGATAGCTGTCTTACTTCATTTCAGCACGTGAAGCTGTAAAGGAATTAATCAGAAGTTGATTTTAAATCTAATAAGGAGACTTCTGCAAAAGAGGACAGATGATCGTAAAATTCATAATTTGTGTCAGCCATCTGTGTCTCCTATTAGAAATGTGGCTGGCACCAAAAGGCCTCATGCATGAATCTGCTTTGAAGGTTTTTTCACCTGAAACACTGCAAAACATAAAAATCTAATCAAGTATCTGTATCTAGTTTCTGGTAGAGCTGTGTAATAATATCGATTTTGTGATATATATCGATATTTTCTTTCCTAGAAAAAAATCGATATTCATCCGCAAGTATCGTAACATCCAACTGTCACCTTGCTCACTCACTGCTTGCTTCGCCGGGAGAGTGATTAGGTCATCAGGCTTAGAGTGATTCCTTCAGATGTTAAGTGTCGAGGTTAAAAAGGTATCAAACTATTCAGAGCAGGTACTTGGTGCACTTTGTTTACTTTACAAATGCATGTAAGCTACAGTTTGTACTGTTTCAATTAAACATGTTTTCTCGCACTTCTTTGATTCATTTTATCCAGCTGTCGACTTTAAGTCTTTGTCCATGTCCAACCAGAGCGAGGTGTTGTGTAGTTGGTGCTTTTAATCAGTTTTCAGTTAAATTAATTCAATCCAACTCTATAACAGTCACAAAATGTCACCAAAATCACTCTGTCCCTCTAAAATCTTTCAGAAAATTGCAAAAGTGTATTGAATTGTATCATTTGCTGAATATTGTAATATATATCATGTCATGAGCAGAATATCGTGTATCGTATTGTGAGATTATTGTATCACTACAGCTCTAGTTTCTGGTGCAAATATCTTAGTAAACTTAAAATAAGACAAAATAACTTACAAGTAAATTTTTAGCAAGATATAAGAGATTGCTTTGAGTCAATGATTTCTTAATATCCTCTATCTTGCTAAAACGTTACTTGTAAATCAGTTTTGTCTTATTTCAAGTGCACTAAGACATTTCCAATGAAAGCTGGACCAAAAATACTCTTATTTCCTGTAAAAAAATGACATTTTATAAGCCCTGAACAAGCAACAATAACTCTGAAAAACCTTGTGGCAGGTCTGTTTTATTTACTTCTTAGGAGCCCAAACTAAAAGTTGTAAATATTATATGCATAGCTGGAAGTGTTTGGTTTGATGTTAGTAATATATGTAGTTTAAAATTAGTTCTTCATTTGCAATAAGACAAAAAGTTGATTTTAGCAGAATATTACAGTTTTAACTAAACATGTAAGCAGTTTGTAATCTGTTGCCCTCGATGTTTAGCTACCAACTCATGGATAAATTGTTTTTTCTTTCGTTTTGCTTTACATGTTTCATTTATTAAGGAATAAATGCTGCTGAGAATTTTTATTTTTTGATGAAAATTATTCCAGAGGTGACGGGAGTTTCAAACTTATGTTTCATTCATTCAGACTGTACACACTTGGACAACATTAACACCTTTTCTTTCGTAGTTGGTTTGAGTAAATCAAGAATACTGTTCTTAATCATTGGCTGTGAAAGTGAGTATGACACTTTCACGTCCTCAAAAGCAGGTACAAATTGTCACTTGGACTCGGTCCAAAATGTCTTCTGGCTGGTAGCTTTTGTACATGAAGATGTTGGATGTAAAAAAAAAAAAAAAAAAAGCTGCAAAAGGTAAATTTTCTGTAGTTTTAAAGCCAAAACCTTGTCAACTTGTCACCTCGAATTTGATCTTGTTGAGTTTTTCCTCATTTAATTATGTTTTTCTCAAAACCCAATAATTATTAACTTGTTCCCAATCTGTTTTAATAAAAAAAAAACCCCGAGCTAAATAAGAAAGTCTGACACATTTCCATTGTATCTTTTCACCAGACACAGTGCTACCTCTCGCTGCAGAGCCAGAGCTCGTATTTTGCCTTCCAAGCATCTGAACATCTTGGCATCATTAGCAGAGAGTGACTAATCTATCATCACAAAACAAACTCTTCTTGCAACAGTAACTGTGTTATTTGTGGGCATCCTTATGGGACACCTTAGTGGTATAAAACTGCAACTTGACATTGAAGAACTTATCAATCCTGGATTTAACGCATTACTCACAGAGGTCTCTCTTTTAGACAAGCAACATCTGACTGCATTCATTCCTACTGTTAAAATCAGTGAATTAATTTAATGTAAAAACATCTTAGCAAAGATTAAATAAGACTAAATTGCCTGTACTGCAAACTGAATGTTTTAAAATTAATAAAATTATGCTATTGTTTACATCTGGAAATTTTGTGCATCCACTCAATGCTGGAGGGCAAAAAGACGATTTTCTTTTTTTACTTACCATCCATAGCCGTGCTGCCACAGAAGAAACATTGAAGAATAATTGTAAATCACTCGTATGCTGAACTTTTCTTGCTCTCTGTGTCAGCTTCGCTGTGCACACGTTGCCATAGCAACTGACTGACAACGACTCCACTAGTATAATGTGCCAATCATTTCCCACACAAATGAAAACAGAACATTCAGTCCATTAGAGTATTTTGTTTTCAGGCTTGATGTTTATTTTGTGATTATTAATAAGTGATTGCTGTGATAGATTAGCTACCACTGCTGTTTGCTAAGCTAACACAGCAGAGGTTGATTAGCTAATTTAAACACCTGGTGATCTGTCAGAGTTGGTGTTTAATTAGACTTTTTTTATTTTTGTTAACTGAACTGAAAGACACTGAATTCTGCAGCACATCTGCATTTAAGGTTTTCAAAGTCAAGCTAGCATAACTGACCTTCTTCCCTCTTCTTCGCTGTTATTTTCTTAATTAAATTTTTTTCCTGACCTTGTATATAGTTGTGTAATTTTGACAATTAGCATCACTTTTCTTTTACATATCAGGCATACATTTAAGATTTAGCACGTTATGTCGACAACTTGACAGCTAAAACCAATAGTAGTCATCGTCGAGGAGCAGCTTTTTTGCACATCATGTCACATTGCAGAGTGTCTAAAACAAACAAGCACTCATATGTTGTGATTCATCTGCAGTGACATCCTGTTTGTTTGGAGCTAAGCCGTGTGTGTCTGTGTAATTTCAGGTACGTCTAGTGATCCATGAGAAGGGTCTGGTGTGTGACGAGAGGGATGTGAGTTTGCCGCTGCAGGAGCACAAAGAGCCCTGGTTCATGAGACTGAACCTGGGGGAGGAGGTTCCCGTCTTCCTCCACGGAGACACCATCATCAGCGACTACAACCAGATTATAGACTACATGGAGAAAAACTTTGTGGGAGGTATGACATGGGGGTTGTAACTAGGCCCGCCACAGAAGTTATTACGATAAACAACAGTATTGTTGTTTTGAGAACATTTTCAAATAATATAATACAGGATCAATAAACTTTAAATTTTAATGAATATTTAACACTGGAAGTAGAAGACATTTTAAATATCTGAAATAAATAAACACCTTCTCTACGTTTAGATTTTTTTTATTTCTGTAGCGCTGATAGATTCAGCTCTTCTGGTGCTCTGCTATCTGATTTTTCATTTTACCTCCCAATAATCACTTCTCTACAAAACGGAAAAACTTTAAATATTATCTATTTACAAGATGTGCAAAGTGCCCTTCAGATTTATTAACACCTTGATGATGATGATTAAAAAAGATTTATGGCGTTTTCTCTGCTCTGTTAGATTAGGGATTAAAATGGAAACATTTATCGCATTTTCATTTTGTTTGGTTCTCTTTCACACTGAGTTATGTCAAATGAACCAAACATTTTGAGCAACCTGTTCCCCTGCTCACCTGTGGGGGCGCTGCATCAAGAACTACAAAAGGAGATGACATGAAAACCTCTGAACAAGAACGCAACTTCCTTCTTCACCTATAAGCAACTGAGCGTCAATCGACTATCGATAAATATATATTTGATCACAAAACAGACAATGTTAACATAATATCTATGTAAAAAAATAAATCTTATCTTTGTAATGATAACATAGAAAATTATATTTTCTTATTTTCCACTTTCTTTGGTTTCTGTTGACAGACTGTTCCACAGATTTGTTTAGTTCTGACTTTGCTTATGTCTATATATATTTTTCTCTGATCCTCCTAAATTACAATCGCTATCTTTTAATAAATCTTTTCCTTTTCAATATGAAAAGGAATAATTTGGGGCTTGTTTGTGTTAACCAACTTTGACATTAACTCAACAGGAGAAGCAATTTATTATTAATAAGAGCTAAACGTCTGATAATTTGCATTATAAACAGTAATGACTATGCATTTGTTGCTGTTGTTTTTTATCAAAGGATTCCCAGAAGCTGAAAACCAAAGATCCAGTAAAACAGCAGGAAGTTTGTGCACGGTTCCAGTGCAGCTGCTGGTTCTCTTCATACATTGTTCATTTGGACTAACAGGGACAACTGGAAGACATTCCAAGGCCGCCTGTCGTCCTTATATGGAGTGTCAGTATGAAGTCACTGCTGCGTCTTTGCTCCAATGTCACCAAAACCATCTCAAATTATTAGATAAAAAAAAAACTGGAATGTTTCCCAGAGAGGAATCTGAAAGTGGTTTCGAAAATAGAAGATTAATTTTTGTATCTTGAAGCTGTTAGTAAATATTGAGACTAAAATAAACGAGCACTGAAGGTGAAAAGCAGAAACAACATTCTTATACAAAAGGTAGGGAGCCATTTATCATTCATTAACCTTGTCTAAATGGTGTTGAAGACAGATCTTGTTTTTGTTAAAGGTGACCTGTTATGCTGCCTTGAACAGGTTAGGTCAAGTCTTATATTTTTTGCACAAAATTATTCTTGTATATGAGCTGTTTTAAGGCATCTTGTCACTTTATATCCAAATAAGTTGCTGTCTAACTCAAAATGTCTGCAAACAGTTGCACAATTATACAACCATACATCTTTGAAAAGCAAAAGTGGAGCCTGCTGCACACCCAACAAACCATTTTTGTTTTTAATTTGATTTTAATATGGCTGAAATAGTTAGCGTTTTTAATTTAATTTAATTTTGTTAATATTTTGAGGAATACCATTATGTCATTTTTGTAATGTTTGGACATCACAAATAATAATCTCTGCTATGGTGAAGACTAATGGGGATCCAAATGCAGCAAGAGGTTTCTGAATGGCAACTCAACAAAACACCTGTCTTTTCCATCAGCCATTGTACAGAGTACACAGTGGTAAAACCAGCCGACCAAACGTGCTCAGCTTGGGATGCGAGGTATCTTTGGAGCACCGCTGGGGTTGCTAGGCAACGGCAGAGCTCCACTGGGGTTGCTAGGTAACGCACAGTACCTTCTGATTTGTGACGTTACATTCCGGAGATTTTTGAAATGGCTAATTTTCCTAACATAAGAAAAACATGAACTTATTGCCAAAAACCCCCTGACTGGGTGGGTTTTCCAAGCTCATGGTTGTTTTTTTTAGAAGCAGTAGGAATCCAAATGGAAGTACAAAAAAGTGCAAAGTGTGAATTTTGTGCAATATGTCCCCTTTAAGAACAGTCAGAAAATGTAAAACAATTAAATTTTGTTTTTTGTTCCCTTTCTTTTCATAAGACTCCTTACTTTTTGGATAATTTAGAGATATTGTTACTATAGAAATCAGACTACTTTTTTGCTTTGTTAAAATATTGAATACTTAGTTTATTGCTGAGCTTTAAAAGTAAAAATATATTTATATATTTTAGCCTGGATTGCACTGCAACAAAACACACAGGAGTCAGTGTATGGCACTGCACAGTAACTCCAGTGTTGGCTGTAGTATTCTCAGCTGAGATGTTATATAACACAGATGGTCTCTATTGAAAGCAGCAGATGACCAGACTTTCTGCTTCCTCTGAAACAAAATGCAGCAGCTGAAACCTCTTTCACTTCCAGACTCCTACATTTTAAACCAATTCTGCACAACTCCAGCATTTACAGCAAAACCAGAGACACGGATGTCTTTATGTAATCTATAAAGTGTTGAAAAAAGACCCTTAATGCTGTAAAACCAGACATCCTGCTGGACAAGCTTTTACCCAGAATTCAGTCTGAGATATATGTCTTGCAGGCGTGTTTTTTCTCTGCATTCATATCCCTAATGTGAGCTGCAGCCAGCCTCAGGTGCCTCAGAGAAACTAAATATATCATGTCTTTTATTTTTAAACTACGTTGCACAAACAGTGCTGTGAGAAGTACTTCCTCTCTTACATCTTTCTTCAGGTTTTATTTAATCGCCTTTAAAAGTTTCAAATCATGTAACAAAATTTAAGAAGACAAAAATAACTTGTTAAAATAGAAAAAGTAGTTTTTAAATGTTGATTTCATTCATGAAAAAGCAAAAACAATATCTGTGTGATGATAAACTAATTAAACAAAACATGTCTGTCAACAGGAAGTAGGCTGAAACATATCAAAAAGCAAAATATTATGACTAGATATGATGAAATTCTCAAAGATTTTCAGGCTCCTATTTAATTTTTATTTCACTTTGTATGTAGGCACTTTGTTAATATACAATTTATATTATTGTCACATATTTTTACACTTAATTGGGTATATTTTGTTTCTGTGTTGCTGCAACAAGTGAATTTCTCCACTGTAGGATTAATATTCTATTTTATTCTTGACTCTTTGCCGGTTATCACAGGAGTGGAACAGAGTATATATTATATAATATGTTATATATTAGGAGAAAAGTTGATTTCATTTTTTTTCTCCTCCATATTAGTTTAATATATTTTGATTTTTTCATGTTTTGTTTGAGTTCACAATTTGTATAATAATGTGTAACACATGACAAAGTCATAGCAGTGCATGCTAGCAGAAAGCAAAACTACTGCAGCTGATGAAATGTGAATGAATGTGAAATGTGATGAAACAGCAGCTGGGTTTACGTTACAAAGTTATGCAAAACTTTGTCGATATTAAAAAAAACACAATTTTGCAATTGTGGCGTTTCCATTAAATAAGAAATAGAATTAAAATCACACGTGAATAAGTAATTAAAAAACACTCTGCGGTGTCTCCTTCCTACAACTTCCTGTTGTCTTCTTCGTTATTTCCATCAGTAGTAACATCTGGTTGCTGATTTGGTTATTGAACGTAGTGTAATACAAAAATAAACTAGGTTTTATACAAACACAGTAAATTTAAAACAAAAGAACAGTAGTAAAGTATATTTACACGTTCGAAGGAGTGGGTAGAAGTATGAACTTATTTTTACACCCTCCTCTCTTACATTTGTTATATCATCCAATAAATTCATGTTAACTTGATTTTAACAGCCTTTTTTATTATTTTCTATATCCATATCAATAGCTAATACAGTGAATTCATAATTACATGCCATTATAACCAAGCATCATTTTTAACATGTTAAAAAAAATTCTACGTGAATGACAACTTTTTTTAAAATTAACAATTGATAATAGCAGTCACATCATGTGACTCGTTTGATGAGACATAAGTGTTTCCATTGGAGTTTTGTGAAATACACTAATTTTGATAAACCTGAAAAACATAAATGAAAAACCTACGTTTTCTTTTAAATTGTTGTGTTTCCATTGACCAAATTTATTTTTCTTAATTTCAGATTTCTAAATTAAACTGTCATTGGAAACGCAGCTGCTGAGGCTGCAAAAACATTTTAGCCAATGGTAAAGAACAAAAACTAAAGTTTAGCCTCTTCTATCTTATGTATAACACTGTTGGGAAGTTCTTTGTTCTATTGTTGTAACATTTGCATGACAGTGCAGAAGCAGACCTTCAGGACCACTGCATGGTCTGCACATCTACAGACTGATTACTCAGCATTCTGGTGCGTTGCCAAGTGCAGCTCTGCTCTCCCTTTTGGGAGCTTCTCCACCGGCTGAAAGCAGCTGTCTGATCGTTTCTGTTGGGTCAGAGATGCTGTCCCTGAAAATGGCTGGCTGTGATAAACAACGCTGCTGTTCAGTCATTAACGGTCAATGCTGCATGTCAGCTGCAGATCACTGTCGCTCCTCACAGGTTTGATGGCATTCTCTGGCTTAAGCTTTCCAACTTTTCATCAAGATTTGATTAAAGTGAAACATTTCAGTTTTTGCTTCCTCAAACCACAGGATATGACTCCGAACTTTAAAGTTGTAGTATGTAACTTTCATTAAAAAAAAATTCTGTTTTTTTTTTTGTTTTTGTTTTTTTCATATTTGTTAAAACTATGAAGTAAATGTTAAAGAAACGCACCCGGTCAAAAACAACCAATCAGAGCCAGGAGGCTGGTCAATGCTAATGCTAATGGCGGAGAAACAACTTACCTTTACAGGAAAACTGTTTGTTAGCCGTAATCTGTGGCTATGCTAACTAGCCTTAGCATTTATGGCAGGCTATGCTAGCTGCACCGCAGAAAGCAAAGGGGAGGTGTAAATGAGCACCACTACACTGAGGATGATTGACAGCGCTAAAACCCGCCTCCTAACTGTGAGGCGGGTCTTAGCATCACAGTGCTAACTGGAACTTATCCCAGTTAGTACTGGGATAAGGCAGAGGAGCTCAGTTTTTTCATGTTATCTGTTTCATAACATAATGTGAGGATTTAGTGACAGTTTCAATAAATATATTAGAAAATATTTAAATATATATATACATATGTATATATATTTCTTAATAAAAGTTGCATAATGCAGCTTTAATATGAGTTGTTTTTTTGTTTGTTTGTTTTTGTTTTTTTTTACAGAATTTAAACTGAGTGAAGCTAAAACTGGAGGAGTTCTGGGTAGAACATTTAAAAACAAATACATATATTTTATCTTAAATAGAAAATGTGCCTTTTTTAACAGTCTTTATACTCCAGTTAACTATTAATTGATTACTAAATTAGTTGATGATTATTTCAACAATCGATTCATCACGATTAATTAATTTAATCATTCCAGCCCTAAATGTACTTTTTTGCTTCGTTTTTGCAGTTTGTAAGAAATGTTTTCTCTGACCAGCAGAGACATTTTGGTAATTTTGCAGAAAGTTACTGAGGAGTTCTGGAAATATCTCGATTTGTTTTTGGATCCATTGAACGTCAGAAATGCTACCTTCTCTTCGTTTGTGTCTCCCTCCTACAGAGACGGTGGCTCAGCTGATTCCTGACCCGGACTCACCTCTCTACGACCGCGTGCAGCAGTACCGCCACCTGCTGGACGGCCTGCCCATGGACGCTTACACGCACGGCTGCATCCTCCATCCAGAGCTCACCACTGACTCTATGATCCCAAAGTACGCCACCGCAGAAATACGTAGTAAGTGACGCCAGGCATGAATCTGCATAACTCCGTGGTTCTTACAGGAGGAAAGGAGAAAGTTTGAGTTGTAGAGTTTTCAAGATATTTCAAAACAGCTTTTAATGAATTAATGCTGTTTTAGTTATGGCTGGACAATAAATCAATAACAATATGTCGCAACAGATATATGACCAAATATTCAGTATATAGAATATTCACTGATCTTTGATCCAGAATCGCCCACTCTTTGGTTACCTAGCAACAGGTTACTGGGCAACAAGCAGTTTCAAGTCCCCCCCCCCCCCGAACTTTGGTTACCAAGCAACGACCTGTTGAGTAACTTGCACATCTGCAGTTTCAGGTTTTGCCACTGTGCCTCAAAACTGCTTAATAATAATAATAATAATAATAATAATAATAATAATAATAATAATAATAATAATAATAATAATAATAATAAACACAGGAAAGAAAACTGTGGATAAAAAGGAAATGCCACACCACCAGTTTGGTAGTATTTCAAATATTTAAAATAAAAAAACCTAATAAATAATTATTAATATCAACTAATATGAAACACTCATGATTAAGTTTTTCAGCCATCTTGTCCAGCCCTACTTATTGTGTGTTTTTTACGTTAAGTGCTATGTATTTAATTTTTTAAAATTATTTTCTTTTAGTTACTTAGCTGCTCTGTTTGTAATTTTGCTTGATTCTTGTAAAGTGTCTGAGTTTTTAGAAAAGCACCATATGAATAAAATGTATATTATTATTTATTTTGTTAAATAAATAAAACAAGATTAGTATTCATTGCTACCCAATTCTTTTTCAGATGTAAGAGTATGTTAAATTGTAACTAAACCCGCCCCCCCAAAAATGGGCGGAGCCAAGAGACACTAAGGGGCGTGGCCAAGTATGGTGATGAGCAGACAGGGTAGGACGAAAGAACTACTGTTGCTTGATTATAAACTCTTTGGCTATATTTAGCGACTTTCCAGACCTTATCGTGACTTTTATTAAAAATAAAAAATTTGCCAGATTTTGACAAAACTGTAGGAGAATTTAACAGCTTACACGCCATTTGACCAAAGGGGGCAGCACTGAGACGGTTTTAGGCAAAATAATATGGAACTAGACAAATTTACACAAAAATGTCCAAATTCAGACAGAAACATAAATATGGAACCCTAAATAACTTATTTAGTTTATCAGCAAATAGAGCGTATTTTGGGTTACTTACTTTAGTTTTTTTTTTTTTTTTTAAATAAAGAACTAAATATTTAACTGATTATTTGAAAGGGGGCATTATTTTCATCCAAATGGGTAAGCACAAATATCTCCACTGGTTATTTATAATGTTTAAAAGACATTATATATTACCGCTTGATAAGGTTTTCTCCTGTGTTCAATAAAATAATGCAAAAACCCTTAACGTGTGTAACTTCAGGACACTTGGCTAATGCTGCAACTGAGCTGATGAAACTGGACCATGAAGAACCTCAGCTGACAGAACCGCATTTGTCCAAGCAGAAAAAGCTAATGGTGAGTTTATAACAAACCAAGTCTTCTTCAGTTCAGTTTACTGTCATTTTCAACCTCCAGCTTCAGCAAACAGAGTCGACAAGCAGTTCACATTATTTAATGAAATAGAGAGTAGAAAGAGACATTCACATATAAAAACACAATGGCAGATAAAATAAAATCCAGTGTATATTTAGTTTTATTCATTCAGTCCCTGAAAGGAGGGATGAAGAGTAGCTTAAATGAAGTAAATTAAATTATTCACATCCCTAAAAATGTTCTGGTTGAGTTTCACTACAAAATCATAAAATCTTACCAAGTTTTGTTTTAGCATAAATATTTTACTACACTTGAAATAAGAGAAACTAACTTAGAAGTAACTTCTCAGCAAAAATACAGGAGTTTGTTTTAAGTCAGTACCTTAATATTGATGAAATAGTAATAATTTACAACATATTTTCACATGTTATAAGTGAAATAAATATTAAAGAATTACTGACTTAAAATAAGCTCCTATGTCTCACTAAAATGCTGTGAGGAAGTTATTTATGTTCTACTTCAATTGTACTACAATATTTGCACATAAAACTAAACAAAAATACTTTGTAAGATTTTATGTTTTTGCAGTGTTTTGGACTGATTCTGTTGTAACTACAACTACAAATTTAACTCTTTAAAGAAACACTTTAAAACATTATAATTAACTCTGATTAATGATTTCCAGGCAAAGATCTTGGACCATGATAATGTGAACTACTTGAAGAAAATCCTGGGGGAGTTAGCCATGGTTCTGGACCAAGTGGAGGCTGAACTTGAGAAAAGAAAACTAGAGTATCAAGGTAGTTTTCAAATGACAACACAAAATAAAACAAAAACAACCTAAAACTGTTGATCTTATTGCTGCTGTTTTACCTCACAGGTCAAAAGTGCGAGTTGTGGCTTTGTGGACCTGAATTTACGCTAGCTGATATCTGCCTTGGAGCCTTGTTGCACAGGCTCAAGTTCTTGGGACTTTCTAGGAAATACTGGGAGGACGGCAGCCGGCCCAACCTGCAGTCCTTTTTCGTGCGTGTCCAAAAACGCTACGCTTTTCGAAAGGTGTTGGGCGACATCCACACGACTCTCCTGTCAGCAGTCCTACCTAACGCCTTCCGAATGGTAAAAAAGAAGCCGCCATCTTTCTTCGGGGCCTCGTTTCTCATGGGCTCTCTGGGTGGGATGGGCTACTTTGCCTACTGGTATTTAAAAAAGAAATACATGTAGTGAATGCCCTCTTGTTGTGTTAAATGTCTGTGTATTTGTGTGATGCTTCAACTTTTCTGTAATGTTTTATGACTGCAGGAAAATATAATGAATCTATATAGAGAACACTATTACTTACCTGGGTACACAAAGAAATATGAAAACATTCCATAGTATGAATTTAATGACAGCACATTTTATGGTAGTAAAGGCCTTTGTTAACTGTTCATTTCTGAAACTTGCAGCTTTTGTGCATGCAAGACCTCATTTCTTTATTTATTATTTATTTTAGTTTTAGTTTTTTGGAGGCATGCATCATTTCCACACTGAAAAGAGAGACCTGGTTAAAACGTTGAGCATAACCAACTCTTCCATTTCTTTGAGTTTCCAGCTGATAAAATCACTGCATATAAATAAATATGTTCTGAAAAGTGCTGCTCTGCTGGAAACTGCCAGATAAAATGCTACGGAGGGATTTTTTTTAATACAGGTTTTGTTAGGAGTATGATTTTTAAATAAGAGGAAATTGTTTTTGCTAGTTAGCATTAAGACTGGTAAACGTTTTTGATCTGTCTGAAATATATAAGACTTATCATACAAATATCACCAATACCCCTTCAAAAATATTTCAAACTACCACAGTTGTGCGTTATTAATGCATCCCATAGGTATTTTTATCCTTGGACAGAGTAAAGTTAGCCGTTTTCGTATAATAATTTAACTTCTTTTATCAGGACAGAATAAAAATAAAAATGATGTCCAGATATCTACAAAAATATTATTTCCCATATTCCGTAATATTAAAATCCATTTAATTTATATGTTGCAAATTGTGGTCACCATAATGCTACAGTTGTTAGCATTAGTTTAGCATGAAAACTAGAAAAATAAGTTAGACTTTCAGAAACCTACAGAGTTGACCAAACTAAATCCCTGCAATTCCTGGATTAAAATAACCTGAATTAATTTTCATAACTTACAAAATTAACTGTGGCGTTATTTCTTCTGAAGTGTTTTTACCCTTAGATAAAGAACAACTAGCTTGTTTTATTTGTTATTTTTCATACATCTCTGATGCTAAACTGGAGCCAGTAGAAAAAAACATAAATATCTACTTGAAGTGATGCACTAAATATTTATATCTATCTACAAAACTTAAAACCAGCCAAGGAAATGTTTTTTTTTTGTCATGATTTAGCCTTTGGACCGGGAGGTTAGCAGCAGTTTCTCGTCTGTCAGCAACGCTAACTATTAGACCAGTTTCAATAAAGAAAAAACTTTAAAAAACAAGTTAGGAAGAACAAAGTATTTATTTTTAATGTTTTTTAAATTGGTGTAAATTTCAAAACAGCCCCAAACCCATTTGTTGTTAATTGTTTTCGCCACAGAAAGAAGATAGCTATCGTTAGCATAGCATAAAGATCAGAAAAAGAATGTACAAGATCACTTGTACATTCTTGTTAGCTGTTTTTTACCATAATTTCTAATCTTACCAATACTAAAATACATAATTTAAACAAGAGATATGGTCATAATAATACAATAAAATACTGATGTGAATTTCTCAATTGCTGCAAATTTAAAAGTAGCACCACAGAACAGAGATGATTATTGTTAGCTTAGCATAATGACCATGAAAGGATAAAAGCTAGCTTGTCTTTGGCTAAAACTTATAAACTAACCAATCTGAATCTCACTAATTCTCCTTGTAAAAACTTTTCAAATTCTTACACTATAGATAACATTTATTGTTTATCTACAAATTCAAAATGAGCTATGGAGGTGTTAACGATCTCTCATGTCACCAATTATAAATATTGGGGATATTTTTTTAAACTCATTAATAAAGGCCAAATAATACAGTAATACACATTATTTTCCAAACTCAAGCAAATATAATTTTTATATTGAACTAATTTGTTGCATATATGAAGAGCAAAGTAAGGGAATGTAAACTAGATATAATTATATAACTAAATTTACCGGTTATCTTCAAAGTCAAAGTGAGCTCTGAAAATGCTTTTTGTTGGGTATTTTTTGGAAAGAGAAAATTAGCCGCTGCACATTTTTTGCCAATATTAAATGTTGGACCTTATTAAAAAAGTTAACATTGTATTTTTTTTTGTTCAACCCTCAAAATAAATATTTTACACATTTGTATAAAAAACTAGGAGTGTTAAATCCACAGGTGGAGATAAATGGTTTACATATGTTTACATGTTTTTGTTTTATTCAAATCAAGTTTTCTGCTCTACTTCTGTGTACAATCACTGTGTAAAACCTGCAAACTGTTTTACTGCAGATTCTCAGTGATTTCCAAAAGGTTTTTGAATTGTTAAACCAGGTCACATTATTTCCTGCAGTCAAACACTTCCTCTGATTTCTGATCCAGTTTTCAGTTTTTATCTCACGCTAACAGACTGTAGCTTTACTGAGCCTCATAGTGACAACTCTGCTCTCTTCTAACCCACAGAATAGTGATTTTTTCCAAAAATATCAACGTAATTACTACAATGTTAGCTCACAAAATACCACAAAGACATTGTTAAATTATTTATTTTCAGCTGCACAGGCTACACAGCACACCTCGGATCATTGTCATAAACTTTGGGTGTTTTAAACGTTACACTTAGCTTTTACAATTATTGAAATTTAAGTTCTGCATCTGTGGCACCAAAAGTTGTATTAGGTTTAGGGTGTGTGTGTTTCATTGCATGGGTCCTGTTTAATGTTTAATGCTGTGATGGGTGGTCACTTTGTGTTGACAAGAGGTAAAATATGCTAACTGTAACATTTAAAGCACCTGCACTGTTCAGTGTCCAAGTGGTCGTCCTCAGCAATACCAAGCAAGTGAAATTACGTTTAATTGCTGCTGTTTGTACGACGCCGTATTTGGGCCAGGAAATGAAAAAAGGAGTAAATTTCCATCAAAAAAAAAAAAAAACTCAGATATTTTGAAATTAATCTAAGAAATTTAACAAGAAAAAAAGTTCAAAAGTCAAAAATGTTTGATTTTCAAAACTCAAGATTTTTCCAGAAAATTTTGGAGATTAAACTAAAAGTTTTCAACTTTTGGAGCTCAAACAGGTTCTTGTTCTTTCCAGAAAATTTCTCAAATTAATCTCAGGATTTCGGATTCCTCTTCTCACAAATGTTTTACTTTTGGGGCTCAGAATTTTTTTTATTCTTTTATTTTTCTAGAAAATTTCTTACGTTAATCTCTAAATTTCAGATTTTTTTCTAACAGGTTTTCAACTTTTGGAGCTCAGTAATTTCCTTGTTTTTTCTAAAGTTTCTCAAATTAACCTCAAAATTTCTGAATTTTGACTTGCACGTTTTCAACTTTTGGAGCCCAGAAATCTCCACCTTTTTTTCCAGACAATTTCTTAGATTAATCTCAAAATCTCTGAGATTTTTGGCAGAAATGTACTCTCCTTTTCTTTTACCTGCTGTCCTGAACACGCTGTCGTATGTTTGGTACCAACCCCCTTTTTGCCGGATGCAATGTGTTTCCAGACAGATTTGTTCTTGTAGAAATTGCTTATCTATGCCAACACACCGAAGTTATGAATGAGATGGAGATTGTTTCCCTTTTTTGCAAGCCTTGCAAATATTTGTACTTTTCACTTTAAGTTGCAACTTTTTCCATTTTTTAACTCTCCAGACTTCTGTATGAGTCCACTCCCAAGCTGTGTATTGTTTTATGTTTTCATGGACTATATAGGCACAGAAATGTAACTTGGGAGTGTAGACCAGTACCTCTGCGTCCATTCAGTCAGGTTGTGGTAACCCAGTGTTTTAGACAAACTGATTTATTTGTATTTTAGAACTGACAGAAATGAGTGGCAAATGTGTACAAACTATTGTAAACAAAACTGCCTGCTGACGTTTGTCATGTAATATTTTAACACTCAGATTTTTTTGAGTGACTATAAAAACGGGAGATGATGCTGAGGATGGAGACACGTTGTGAAAAGTCATAACCAGCCAATCATTGTGTTCACTTGACCAACCGTCGTCATTTCAAGCACAGGCCGCAGCACCACTGGCTGTTTTTATTTGCAGTAAAGGTTCCTAACGGGTTGAACCTGTTCGGACCAGAAATCCCAGCTGTGGCCATTAAACCTCACTATATTGTTTTCATTTTTATTTATTTTTTTAATGTTTCTATTTGTGTTAATATGCATTTATTTATGGTGCTTTTTATGATGTTTGTTCATAAGCCTTAATTTATTCAGTTGCCATCAATGACAAATAAATAATGGAAAATGAAATCAAAAGAAACTGTTTTTTATTTAGTTATTTTTTAATTTCAATAAAATTGACACCTGGAAACTACAGGTAGTGATGTAAGTTACACTAACAGAAGCTTAAAAACAGAAATGCTTACAGGAAATACATTTTGTTCCTCGTTTTCTTTTCTTAAATATGAATTTTAAAGAAAGAAGATGACAATCGGATACCCAGCACCCTAAAACTTTGTGCGTCAACACTTGGTTCCCTCTGAAAAGATAAATATGTTAAAATTAACTAACTTATATACGGCAAAGCGTCTGATAATGGCAGCTGTCATACAAACACACAGACATAAAAGCATTTAAACAGGAGGCAGCAGGCTTGGACTAACACGGTGATTTCCAAACCCAAGGATTTGAAAAAACAAAATCAGGGATCCAGAAATTATTTCATAAAACAATAAAAAATATTTAAAAATCACTCGTACCAGAATTTTTTTTACAACAATTATTAGATACAATTAAAACGGCATGATTATTTGATATAAAAATTTGCATCTTTTATTGGATTTACACTTATGCATCCCATTTGTTGTCGGAAGTTAAATATTCTGAATATAAAGCTGAAAAAAACAATATGGCTGCTGCATCTTTTCTTCTTCTCTTCTCAGAAAACATTAGTGTTTTTATTCATGAAGTGCAGACAAATCATTTAAAGTTGATTTGTAAAACTTGAATATCTGATAACATTTCAAACTTTTAATTTTAGCTTCCCAGAATAAAAACATGCTGCAGCTTTATTAGAAATGCTTTCATTCTTTCTGTGCTGCGGTTTAGAAAATAGCAGCCACTGAACTAAACATGTGTTGAATACATGAGGTAAGTACAAATAAAGGCAGTAAAAATAAATAACATGCACTTTAAAGAAACACTTTTGTTGGACATCATTGTAGACATTTAGAGGCACAAATTGTTGCTTTTCTACCTTTTTAAGCCATGTTCTGGGGGAGGGTTAAGTACTTTGTTGCAAACATCTGTAAAATGACATTCTGTATGTTATTAAACTTAGAAAAAGCAGCTAAATTAAATCCTGTTTGCAGGATTATCAAGGTAGCTTTCAACATTCAGCATCAATGGCAAACAACCTCAAATGATGGCACTTTTTGAATAAATGCAGACAAACAGTAGTGTGTGCTACAAATTAAGCTAAACTGTATTTAAATAATGTTTTGTTTGCCTTTTTGTTTTTTTAGTCTTCTCAAATATTTTTAATTCATTTCATTTTTGGCACACTTTCCAAATCATTTCTAAACCGATTCCTCTAACTGAGGTGAATGAAATTTAAAAACAAAGTAAGTGAAAACATGCAGATGTTTCTGACACAGTGGAGCGTTCTTCTTGAACTGCATCTTTATTCAGTACAAACGCTTAACCTCTGACCCCAAGAGTCGACACTTTTGGTAGATTATTTCTCTTGTAACATGGGAAAAATGTTATAATGAAATAATCTGAAAATGGAACGAGAACTTTTTCAGAAATATTAAGGAAATAGCGACTTAAAACAAGCTCCTGTTTCTTGTCGAAACGTTGCTCGTAAGTTAATTTCGTCTTATTTCCAGTGTACTAAGATATTTTCACTAGAAACTGGACCAAAATCCTTGATATGATTTTGTGTTTTCAAACAAAGCAGCCTTCCTGTCAGGATGGAAAAACTTGACACGTCTTCAAGTTTCATGTCCAGCTTGGACCCGGATATAAATTACCTATGGTTTAATGAAGCTTGTAAAATCAGCGGTGTGCCTCAGGCGAGCTGCTTCTGTTCTTTCTGCTGGCGCTGCAGCGGCAGGCCCGGTGAGAAAGGCTTCTGGTACCAGTACCGGTACGTCAGGTACCACCCCAGCAGCCCGCACGCGGTCCCCAGCAGCTTATCCTTCGGGTCGTGAAAGTAAACGGAGGTGCAGGCAAACATCCACACCCACGTCGCCACAATCAGGTTCAAGGCCACGTACAGCAGGTTGAGCAGCGTCCTGTGCAGCCCGGTCGTCTTCAGCACCGTCATGGCGGACGTTTCCTCCATGATGAGCAGGGAGGAGTAGCAGAGGATGAACGAGTGGCCCGAGATGTCGTGGCCCTGCCAGTGGAAGCCGGCCCCCCTGCAGGCAGCTTTCGAAGTGAGCTTGTTAGCAATGTGAGCGGTTTGGCTTTCAAAGCAAGAGCCCGTCACATCCTCGATGTAGAGGAAGGTCCCAGTGCAGACGTACCACACAGCTGTTGCTACGGCTAACGCCAGCAGGCGTTTGAGCAGGGCGGAGAGGCTCTGGTTGGCAGAGCTGGAGAAGAGGAGGAAAGGCGTGAGCAGCAGCAGCGTCCATCCCCAGGAGACTTTGACGAAATACCTGCAAAGCAGAACAAATCACTGAAGTTTCCACGCGTTTATGTTTTTTGCCAAACCTTCAGAATCACAAAGTCGACTTGAGAATACTTTGTTATTGAATTTCTCATCTTCCAAACAAGGATGAAAAAAAAAATTTTAAAAAAACTTATTGAACCAGTATAAATTCACAAATTTATACGGAGGAACGTGGATGACAGAAATGTGATAAAACTAGTTAATGCAGTTGTGTATTTGTGTAAATATTGACTAACAGAAAATTAAAAATGCAAAGAGGAGATTAAGAGATTATTTTTCATTTAAAGGTACCCACACTTGTTCAAATTATTTTTTTTTAAATAATTTGAAGGTAGTTTATGAGCCGATTTGTGAGGACTATATAGAATCTGGAACATTAAGGATCAAAAAGAAATTTATGTCCACATATATTTTCATATGGAGAAATTTTTTTGCCGCTACAGACAAAATACGGACAAAATAACTATAAGGCGCAGATAATATACTGATAAAAATTCAAAAGATTAAGCAAAAGTTCAAATGGGAATGATCTAGAAAACACATAACCAACCCTGGAAACTGCTGAAAATTCACAACTTTTCAAGACTGTTCAGGGTCCCTGTGTTTCAAAACTCTGCATAAACTAAATCAAAACCAACTTTTACAGACACCTAAGGTAAAATTAGGTGTTTTATTTAAAATTAGGGGAGACCGGGTATGGTTGTAACACTTTTTGCTCCAGCACCTTTAACTCACAGAATTTTTGAGCTAAAGTTTTCAAACTTTTATACAAAATACCCACATTTGTTTACTACAAATGGCACTAATTCAAACATCTGCAAGAATATCACAGACCTCATGAGTTCATGTC